GTCAATTTATTTTAGTTAACTTTCGACTTAGATATTATGCTTAATACAAGTGCTAAAACCTCAGCTATACGCCGATCGCGCTGCGCACAATGCTGCCAGCCGTGCTCAGTAGACTTGTGGGCCGAGCAGAGCCGTTGCCCACGCTGAAGGAGGCCGCATAGGTGTCATCGCTGCCAGCTGGAGACAGTTCCTTGAGCAGCCAGTTATGTATTTGGTGCTCGAATTTATCCAGAAACTCCTCGCCATTACGGATCTTTTTGCCCACTCGTCGCGAGTCTACCGATATTAAAGGTTCTTTGGAGCTCAAATGCTCAGCCCGCATATACGTATCAATATTTCGATGCAGTGTGACGAACTGAAAGGTAAAAGAGCTGTTAATAAGGCTGAATGTATTATTTTAAGTATAAACTTACGTAGGGCCTTTGACGCTCCTGCACAAATTCGGCAATATCATTAAAGAGCGTCACAAAGTGGGGCGATCGGGCGAGCTGCTTATAGTGTTGATCGATGAAGTGCCAGATAGTCGAGCGTGATGCCACATTCGATTTGAACACATAGGCTAGATAAAACATGGATTCCCGCTCATTCAGCAAGTTATAGGTAAAGTTCTCGCCCACCAACACATTCAGATAGTGATGCATGCGGCGATGGTTTCGCGTGCAGCGCAGCGCGTAAATCAAATCGTCGTGCATGGCGGTATTTAAGTCCGCCACAATCAATAAATCGATGAGCTTTTGAAACTCTTCGTCGCTCAACTGTCGCACGCCCATGCACAGAATGGTATCGTGTATGGCATAATAGTCCGGATAGTCGCTCTCAAAGTTGATGTTCTTGAAGACGTACTCGAGCACCAGTCGATGCGTGTAGTCGAGACACTCCGGCAAGTCCACACGGCAGGCCATGTTCAGGATATCCGTACGAACCAGTATATCCATGGTGACCACCTCTGTCTTATCCTTGTGAAAAAGACGCAGAAATGTGGGCGTAACCAGGCGACGCGCATACTGCCTGAACAGCGAATGGGCGGTGGTGCCATAGAGATTGTTGTCGAAAAACGCAATGGTATTGGCTACTTGACTCCAGGGTGTTAGATCGTCCTCGAACTCCAAGTACTTGAACAGCTCAAAGAGCACATCCACCGATTCGAATTCGTTACGTTCGATCAATGGCGCCAGATCCTGGAAGAGCGCTGCCCGATTCATGGCATGTATAACCGAATGATTGCTCTGCAGCTGGCGGGCAATGGCGTGCAGATTGTCCGTATCGTAGAGCACATGATAGAAGCCCGTCTGCTGCTTGTTGACAATCAGCCAGTCGCGGCCGCCCAACTGCAGTCGCAGCTCCTCCACAGTCACGGTGTGCTCCATTACGGGTGGCATGAAGAATTCGACGTGGGTCTGCTCAAAGCTGGGCGATTGGGTGGTGGCAAAGTTCAATGGGATCCACCAGTGCTCGGTCTTGGAGTGTATGGAACGTTGTCTCAGCGTGATTGTGTTGTTTTCATAGTTCCGTATGACCGAGACAATTGGCAGCCATTCGCTATGCGTCCAGGATAGCATAATGTGACGGACTTGATGCTTCCAGTGCTGGTGCTGGAATAGTGGATTCTCCAAGACAGCCACTTGGATTGAATCGAACAGATCCAACTCGCTGACGACGCTGTATTGGCTGGAAGAGCGTTAAACTTATGGCACATCAATTGAAATTGATCAGTTCAGTGGCTCCCATCCGGGACTTACAATGTCTTCAGATAACGATTAATGCCCTGCACAAAGGTCTTCTGGTGGAAGGCGTGATGAAACATCTTGATGACGCAGGCGGCACGCTTATAGCTTATAATATCAAAGACTTTCATAATCTCGCTCTCGGTCTCCACATAATAAGTCATTGGACGCACATCGAAGAAGCTGCTGTAGCTATAAGCGTGCACGGCTTCGTCACTGTTGAATATTTCCATCACACTGTCCTCGGGATGAAGCTATCGAAGAGATGTCTATAGCTTTACTCTACACATAATTAGTAACATTTTCGGTTGCTTACCAGGTCCGTGATGACGTAGGAAAAGTAGGTGGCCAGACCCTCGTTCATCCAGACGTAGGACCACCATTTCGGCGATACCAGATTGCCGAACCACTGATGCGATATCTCATGATTCTGCATCACTTTGTGCTTCAATGCCTTATGCCTGTCCTCATCGTCTTGCGACAAGAGGCTATCGTCCCTGAATGTGATCAGACCCCAATTCTCCATGGCAGCACCTTGGTTCTTCTTCAGCGCCACGTGATCCAACTTGGGCAGCATGTAGCTAACGCCAAAGTAATCCTCAAGAGCTGCCACGGTGAGCACAACATTCTTCAAAGCGGAGCGACCCTTGTCCTTGCTGGTGGGCGACGAATAGATCGACTGTGTAACACCTCGATATGTCTCCGAGATGTGATCAAAATTGGATATGACAAATGCCACCAAATACGTGGACATGGGCGGTGTAGTCTGGAAAGTGGTTGTAGTCAGCTCGCTGCACTCAATAAAACCGCATTATAGCTACGTTACAGAATTGGAACTCGATCAAAGCAGAGCTCACCCATGATTAACCAGCTCCTTCACTGGCATATTCGAAATGGCCGTCAGGCTGCTGCTGTGCGTCAACCGTATGCTATAGTTTGACTTGAACGCTGGCTCATCATAGCACGGCATGATTAGCCGTGCAAATGTCGGCTCCGATTGAGTGGCCGCCACATAGCTGTAAATAATTAGTTGAGTTAGAGTTTTCAAGCTCTTTGATCTTAAAGCTTTTCAAAAAATTTTCTCAATTTGTAATAAATCAAATCAAAACAAACGACGATTCGTTGAGAGAGCAACAAAAAAAAAAATAAATAAATAATGCGCCAATATATATGTATGTCTATATATTAATATTATATATACACTTTTTTTGTGAACTCTTTATCGGCGGCACTGGCGTACAGCTGTCATCGTCGATAAGGCCCTGCCGCTGTTTGTTATGGTCACAGTCATGCCCCTTTATGATGAAACCATTCGGTTAGACTGTTTGTTTACATGCAACATGAATGACGAGCATAACGAATACGAGTACTCTAACATCGATAAGGCCACGCTTGACGCAGTATCAAGAAGTGAGTATGCTCTAGATAAGAGCGTCTGTCCAGACAGCTACCCTGTAAACAGATCTTAAGTGACTAACTGAAGAGATTTGGCAATTCTTGAGAATTTATTGCTCATTTTATATTAAAGGCAAAATCTAATATTCATAGCTCTATGAATGCAAAGTCTTCTAACAATATTTTATCTTTATTTGATTATATTATATAAATTTTTTTTTTTTTTGCACTAAGATCTTTGCATCTGTTTATATTCCTGCAGCGTTTGATAAGACTTTTGTTTTTAAAGGGGTATGAAAAGTGAGAGCTAATTAAACCAAGAAAAAAATCAAAAGTTAACTGGACTTGATTATGCGTACATTATTATCGTTTCAATTAAGTGCTTTGATTGTATAACAGCCGAGCATGCGCGCGTTGCTATAGAAGCAATACTCTAATATATGAATATAATATATTATATATATTATTTGTAATTAATTAACTAAGCCTGATCGTAGCTTATCAAACCGGAACTACGTTTACTCACACAGTGCGATTGCTGGGAGGTTCCTCCTCATAGGCCATCCAGTAGAGGCCCTTGGGCCGCGTGCTCATCAGACCTGTGTAGGTGATCTGCAGTCGATATCGCTGTCCGGCTTCGAAGGCCTGATAGTCGACACGCGGATGGACGATAAGGAATGTGGCATACGGATCATACGTGTATGTAATATCATCCACAAGTTCCCCCAGCTCCTCGGGCCTGGCGTTGTCTAGCAGTCGCAATGTTATCTGAATATCGCTCAAGTTCTTGGCATGGACCACAATCTCGTTCGTCGACCGCCTAATCTCAATGTCTATGGTGGCGTTTCCGGCAAAGCGCCATTCCCCGAGATGTATGTTGGTGCCAATGTGCAGCTGATAGCTCAGCGGATATGTGTCGTTGGGCAGTCGCAGCGAGCGCGCCGGCAACAGGTGACGCTCTTCAGGCGCCACTACCTCAGCCCCCTGCGACAAGCACGACGCCGATGCAAGCAGCAAAACTACCAAACACGTCGTAAGCATTACGGCAATGTGATTATGCGAACGTACACGTTGGCTACCGAAACTCGACTAAACTTTTGTCGTTACTGAATTAAAAGCATTTAAAGCCTACGCTGATAAGATAAGAGCTGATTGATGATCGACGTATAAGAGCGTAGCCAGCGCCTCTTATACGCTTCGAGGTGAAACTGTGCTCTCGCGCTTGCACTTGAGACAGGTCAGTGCACAATCCTGTTTCTCCTGAAATTCTCTTTTACAGAGATTGATCTACACTCAGCGAAATTCTTAGTTAAAGCTAATAGCAGATATCTGTTTAAATTTAATAACTATGTTTACCAAATACAATTCCGATAGAATTTTGTTATTTAAAGCTAATGTTGATAATTTTTGCTGATTCTTCTTATACAGAATGTTCTGATCATTTTTATATACAGAGACTACACTCTGCGAAATTGTTAGTTAACGTTGTTGTTGGTATTATTTCACCCCATTTAACATTTATATTTATTATATACAATTATTATTCTTATATAGAATTGTTTTATACATATACATATATTAAATACAGAGACTACACTCTGCGAAATTATTAGTTAAAGCTGATGTTGTTGAAATGGGTATTACACTTTAGTTTTAGTTAACATTATTTTTTATTAATCATACTTAAGAAGGTATTTCCTTTTGCTATACTATATTTTTAGCAGTGCATGGCCCCTATATGAAGCAATTTGTATGAAAATAACTTATTTTTCGATCGATTCGACACGATTCGACGCTCGCCAGCTTCGCTGCTTAGTGCACGATCAACTTCTGGCTATAGACGGCGATATGTGCCGACATTTAGCGTCGAGTTGCACAAACGAGCTGTTCAGTCCATGTTTCGCTCTCTTAACGTGACAATGTCTACTTACCGCTGCTCTCAGCTGTTGTTATTATGTGTTTTGCTCGGCATTTGTGCTATGAGCTATGCGCAAGTCTCCAGTTGCGCTAGGAATGGGGATTATGTGAGTATTGAAATATATGTTATAATAATATTGATAAACATTTATGAGAATTTTAGTGTCAAACGCATCGGCAATGTTGCTCTGGCAGGTGCATGACTTATCTCTACAAGTGCGCTCCCAGGGTCCCACAGATATTGTACAATAACAAAGACAGTCCAACGGGTTTTGATTATCTTGCTGATTGGTTGCGACCCAATTTCCATCCCAATAGTGTACAAAATGATCTTGAAATATACAAGATCCAACCAACGGAGAAAGTGGGCAATGCTCTTGATTCAGCCAATCCTCCAAGCAGTGACGGCTGTCTGTCCATCGGCCAACCCGTAAGTGGATTGTCGACTCACTAACTCACTAACTTTCCCCTCATTTGTTTATATATAACATCTGTACACAAAAACTTTTTTTCAGTGCTCAGAAAGCCGTCAATGCTGCAAAAAACGCTGTCACACCTATCTCCATAAGTGCGTCACTTAATGGAGCAATCTGACGCAATAAATCACTTATTTATATATGTATATATATAGCTTTGTATATGCACAGACAATGTATTAAAATGAATATTTCATTTGAATAAACAACAATTCATTCTATGATCTTTGATGAAAGTGTAAAGGGAATATTGCATTGTGCAAAATTCATTCATTCTTTCTACACTTCAATGGAATTAGTTTCGCTAAAAAATTAAACATGTTTTTAGTTCTAAGAAAAATGGTAAAATTAGTTATAACGATTAGCAACTGGAGAAATATAGTTTGCTAAAATATAAAAAGTTCATCGGGCGCTAACGACGGCATAATACTTATTAAAACTTAAAAAAACCTACTAAAAAATTTACAATAACGGTTACTTATTTTAGTCTATCCCCAAAGTTATGGCAGCAATGCTCATACTGATTATCACGTTCACAATGGACGTAGACTTATATTCTATATATGTATTCCGTCTTGATTTCATTTGACAATGATAATTTGAAAATTACAAGTCTCCGATAGCTTAAGTAAGAGCTCTTTACACTATACTTGGTAGTATTTCTCGATTGGCATGCTTCCACTGAAATATATATACAGTCAACATTAAATCATGAAATACACAAGGGCATAATTACATATTGTATATAGATAAATAAATATATAAAAAAATATAATATAAATTAATATAAATATATCAAAAGCCTCAAAAATATTTTATACGTTAGAATCTATAATATATTTTTGTATTATATGCAAAAATAAATGAATATATAGCCTATTAATCTGGTTTTCATGAAGTTGTTATTCATAAGCAGAACACATCATTAGATAAATTTTATAAAACACCACAAGAAAATATAAATATTTTATTTATGTAAATAACTGAATAATGTTAAATTTGAACTCAATTGCTCTGCGGTCCAATCAGACATAGCCCGCATATAAACGCTCAACGGGGAATTCAATAGTAGATGCATATATATTGTATTACACTACAGTATATAGCGAAAATTTCCAATAAGTTCCATATAATTTTTTCTACTTTTTTAGAAATTCCCAAATTTAAAATTTTCAAAATATACAGAGCTGTGCCGAGCCTATCATTTCTGTGCGAAATTACAGAGTTCAACGGAAATTGATTAACTGTATCATATACGCAGTATCAGTTGTAGGGGCGAGAGTCGAAACAGTTCCAATAGACCTTGTACTGGTGTACACTCGCAATCGAGTCACCTGGCAATCTTAAGGTCAAGCATCAGTCCAACATTGATTAATATCTACACAATGTTATCTGTGCCCGCTTCGTTTCGTTCTGCTGAGTTTAAATATTTGCCCAGTAATTTCACCGAGGAGAATATTCAATTATCTCGAACTCTTGACACAAATGTTGCCAACTGCTTGACTGGGGCAAATAGCAAATAGAGAGTCATGTCAAACGAGTTACAAACCTGCCAATTAATTAAGGCCCCGGGGTCAACTGACTAAAAATGCTCAAGCAAACTGCTCTTAAAATCAAGCTTCACTCCACTGGCCACTTCAGTTCACTTCAGGAGTAGCAAGAGACGCGACATCAGGACTGGGAAAAATGATGCCGATGCTGTTGATATTAATGCTGCTGCCACTCCTAAATGCAGTTGTAAGTGACATTCGGATTGCACCAGCTGATTGACTTGATTGATTCAACAGTTTTTTGTTTGTTCCCATTCAACAGGCTCTGCCGCTCAATGCCACGGCGGTCAAGTTGCCGCTGATATCGCCAAAACCGAATACGGCCTCGGTTAATCCGGAAGATGTGACGCTCTTCACCACCATGTTTCTAAATCTATTCAAGGGAATCGGAGATTGGCGCAATCAAGTGGCCGTCGACACCGTGCAGAGCGTGTGGCAAAGTCCGCCCATAATTGACTATAGTCATCGCATTTTTGCCACTTAGCCGGCAATTGTTATTCTAGCAATATGTGCTTTCAATAAATATAACTGAAACATATGTATGTTCTATATAAAAGAGGACTATAAATTCGCTATTTTTATTTGATCACTATCTATATCGCAATGGAACTGTCGCCGTTTCTGGGTCTTCTCTTGTGCTCCTGTCTTACCATAGCACTCAACCAATATATGCCTTACGAGCAAATATATTAGTGGGGACAAAAGGCGAAGTCTAAAGGATTCACATGGTTTCATTATGAAAATATGCTCCATAGCAAGCTAAATTGAATAAGTTGATTATTTAGCGATAACTTTTCAGTAAATTTCAAAGTTAACTAAGAAGAAGCTCGAGGTAATGGCAACAAAAGCCGATAGGTATATCGAGGTATCTTTTATGTACTCTTTAGTAACATTACTCTATATCTACATCATCCTTCTCTCTCGTTCTGCCTGCCTCTTTTGTCTCTTTTAAGTTTTTAAAAAGAAAATCGAGTCAATGGCAACGACAGCCTATATACCACGTGTATGTACTCTCTATCAAAATTAGAGGTATACAAAGCAATGCTTAACACTAGCTAAAATGTGTGTTTAAATGTGCCAAGTGAAGACCGTGAAACTAGCTGAAAATAAATCTCATCGATGAAAACAGTTGCTCAGCACTCAATCAAACAACTTGAAGAGCGAAGCTTTCTTTTGCAATAAAGACATAGACATTAATGGCATGCACTTGATTTGTGAGAAAATAATACTAAAGTGGCAGCATCATCAATATGTACTGTCTCACTCAGTCTCACCCCTCTCCCCCTGCCATCACTCCCTCTCTCTCGTTCTGTCTGCCTTAAATTTTGTTGTTGTCAGCATTCAGTCGACTGGCATTAATAAACTGTATCAACTGACACGCCCATCAAACACCCATTGACAGTAATGTGAAATGAAGCACAATCAAATGGCAGCTGTGTGTGAATGTGTGTGTGTGTGTGTGTGTGTACTTGAGTTAACACACTCACACACACATGCAGCACACTCGCTTATACAACTACAATACAACAGTATTTCCGCCAGAATCGTCATGTAAATTTTTATATGCATACACATGCATTGACACATACACTATACAATGCTCGCCCTTACACACACACACACACATTTACTATCTCGAGTGATCCATTTTTCGCGCCAAACCAAACACAGCCAACACAATGAATTTAGACAACAATTGTTTCGTTTTGTTGTCGCGATTGTTGTTGTTGTTGCTGCTGTTGCTGTTGTTGTTGTTGTTGTTCATGTGTTAGTTGATTCTATTGTGCTCTATATCGGCTTATTCAGTATTACAATAAATTGCAGGTGTTTTGTTGTTATTACAGCTGTAATATGCGAAGCTTGATTAAATGACAAATCTATCGAAAGCTGCCATTAATAATTAGCCGAGCATCAAACAGGGTAAATAGGATAAATAGGGGGTAGTAAGGTAAATCTCATTATAATTATCATTCTCTCATTATCATTATTACTTGCATGTATGGAGAGTAATATTAATATTATTATATATAATTTAATTTTTTTTATTATTATTTTTATTATTATTTATTTTAATTTTTTTTAATTATTATACATAAGTGCATTATGATTAATATATTTATATATAAATTTTGTATTATTATCAGTGATTGTATTATCATTTGTATTTTACTATTTATATCTCTTTGTATTACCTTTAGTAGCAATTTTATTACTAGCATAGGTTTAAGAAAATTGTTCTTTGAAAAATTTCCTACATCCATCTTCAAAATCTAACGAGTTGCTCAAACTCAAGATCTTAAATTGGAAAATTTTCTCTCATCTGAAAATATTCCATGCTTGAACAAACGTTTTTCTTAACTTAAATACATTTGCTTTTATTTATTTATAAATTGAAAGGCACACCGAAAACCATTTGAGTAAATAAAATATTACATAAAAAAAGCTTTGGTTCAATATCGAGTCCAACTTATGTATTTTCAAAGCCAAAAAACTATAATAAAATGGAGTATTAAAATTTCATTTTACAGTTGGCGTGGCGCTCATAGAATTCGCTTGTACATAAATAAATGATGTTTTGGCAATATTTTATTTTATGTAGCTGCACGTGTTGGTCGTGCACATACGCCGCATTTGCATAGAAATCGCATTCATAGCTAAATTGTGGGCCGCTCCCACTAAGGGGAGGGGTGGGGAGGCGAGAAGGTCGTGGGCCACTAAGGTAAATAAAACAGCAGTTCGTGGCCGACAGCCTCGGGCTGAGCACGTGCCTCAATTTAGTGTCTTGGATACTAAGGAGCTGTGCTCTTTACTCGACTTATTATTATTTTCTGCTTATTTTCGGAGCTTGAGGAAGACATAAAATCTGCGGAAGTGTTGAACACATCCGACATGCACTGAAAACTCCTTCCACCCGCTGCCAGCGCCGAGTCGCATCATAGCGCGCGATAAGAGAAAACCATGTAAACAGGTTGTTGTTGTTGTTTTTTTTAGAATGACATTTTTATTTTGGCAGGCGGGCGAGCAAACCGGGAAATCACTTTTCACGGCAAAGCTTCTACATCGAATATCGATTGCGTCGGCCCATCAAAATTCCATATGCACAATCGCGTCGAGTTGAATTTCATACGCTTAAGCGATTCGCCTTAAAGTATGCAGTGAAAAAAGTGAGATGCGTGCAATTTGTCATGTGTGGGGGAAGTGCTCCCCCGCCTCCACACACACA